GTACGCATGCGTAAGTCTTTTAAAATGCTCAAAATTATTCTTTAAAAAAAACTAATTACAGCATATGCTGTCTCTTATACACATCTAGATGTGTATAAGAGACATCTACGCACACAGCACATACTAAAGCTGGAAATTACGCGTTGTTACATGTTTTGTGTTCCTGACAGAGTCAGGAGTCACTCTTTGTGACATTACCGTGCTCACGGGCGTCAAGACATGCGGTACGCATGCGTAAGTCTTTTAAAATTCTCAAAATTATTCTTTTTTTTAAAACTAATTACAGCATATGTTAGCATATTATTAAACATTTCAATCAACACCGCGCGCGCTTCCTGAGGGTCAAAGTACAGCGGATCACCGAATTCGTCCTCAGTGACGAGTTCAAATCTAGTTTACTTTACGGTTGACATCTTTCCTATGCGATATGGGTTTTATTTGTAAATGAACTACTAACTAGGCGTCAACCCACAGTTAAATGCGTCATAACTGTAATGGTGCTAACGCTTTTGTCGTAGGTCAACATTTCAATTTCTGAAATGAATACAATAAGATGTTGACATGTATTTCTAAATCATCCTCATAAAAATACTTGTACACTACAGAGCAGAAAAATACAGGGTGGCATTACAGACAGAAATAAAATACTTAACTTACGTTTTCTGCTTCAGAAAAATAGGAAGAGGAAGAAAAAGCACGATCAAATATTACTGCACACAACTAACAATATTTATTCAAGTAACACTTAAAATCGTAAAAAGTACATATAAAAATTGCTAAGAAATAACAAGAGGAATAAGATGATTAATTAAGAATTTTAAAAAATCGCCTTAAAATGCGTTGATGTGACAAAAGAATAGATAAAACAAGTTCAGAATAATTGGAAACATTGTACCTTTACCAGGACTCTCTCTCTCTCTCTCTCTCTCTCTCTCTCTCTCTCTCTCTGACCCCTGACCTCGGATATACTGTAATATCTGTAGGACCCCCAGCTTAGTCTTCTTCTGGCTAATTCTTACGCTACCACTTCAGTTTATCTGTTCATATTCGGGTCTCGGATTCTTGCGATGACTTCGGAGAAACTAATACTTTCAGTATTCGTTTATGTTTTGATTTGTTTACATTAGTGCATTTATTGACATGTTTAATTTCCTCACTTTAAAACAATTGCCCCGTAAGAAAGGTCACAGAATTAAATGGTGAGCTCAGAAATAAGCGGTTAGTTGGTATATTAAGTTATAATATCTTTAAAAACATGCATATTAATACCAATAGCTTCATTATTAATCAAATTATTTTTAATACCAGTAACTTCACTATTATTATTATTATTATTATCATTATTATTATTATTATTATTATTATTATTATTGTTATTATTATTATTATTATTATTATTATTATTATATTATCATCATTATCATTATTATTATTGTTATTATTATTCATTTATCATCATTATTATCATCATTGTCATTATAATTAATATTATCATTATGAACCTTATATCATCATCATCATCATCATCATTATTATTATTATTATTATTATTATTATTATTATTATTATTATTATTATTATTAATTTATCATTATTATTATCATCACTGTCATTATGACTAATATTACTATCATGAACATTATTTATCATTATTTTTATTCTCATATTTATTATTATTAATGCTGTTGTTGTTGCAGGGAACAGTGAAATTTCGTTGTTTCTATTGTTTTAATAAAATCAATTACTTATCTGTATACTCCTATTGAAATTGCTACCTTATAATTATTCATCAAAACACGAACATACAATCAAAAATAGCTTCGTATTACTCCAGTCCACCATTCGTTTATTAAAAATCAAACAATTTTCTATCATATCTGCAACCACACGATTTTTGCAGGGGTGGCGCCAGTGGGGGCTGGGGGTAAGAGCCCCCTGTTGGGGAGAGCTTTCCCGCCTCCTCCGTCGGGGAGAAAAACCTCAATTCGTCATGGAGATAAATAAATTGCAGTCTATGCATTTGTTACATCTTAGTAGACTAAATTCGAATAAATAAAGCTTTTAATACAGAAAATTATCAAACTTCTCGGGAGCGTTCATGGACCATTTTTAAAATAGTTTGAGCGACACCCGACTACGCTCAAGTTTCTCTCTCCGGGGACCTCGAACCCTCTCTCCCACAACGTCTGGCGAATCCTGGCGACACCCCTGGATATTTGAATCATGCTTCACTCTTAAGCTTTGTCCAGGCTATCAAACTTTATGTGACACTCCGTGATGTGACCATATTTCGGGGTAATATGATATCATCACGCCCATGTGGACACATCACACAAAGTTGACGTAAATATGATAGTGTGGACAGAGCTTTAGGTCAGTTTCTGAGCTACATCAACGAGAAGGATTATTAAAACCAATAATAATGCTTATAGAGGCATTCCACAGTATTTTTTTTGTCACGGACGGGACATTTTTCTGGAATATAGCCAGTTATATCTCAGTAACTATATAGATTATAAGACGTATAGTATGTTCAATGTTTACATGTATGCCTAAGGTTAATTATTGGGGGTGGGGAACTTGAAAAAAAAAGGTTTTTTCTTTTTAATTTTATGATAAAAAATGTATGCGTCACGGACGGGACAAAATTTGGACATGACTTTCAGACTTTTATTTTTTGTTTAATACTATCCCCAGATGATTGTTTTACATGCCTAAATATATACCAAAAATTAATGTAATTTTATGAAAAAATTGAATTTTGTGCTGTCACGGACGGGACGTTCCATAATGTCACGAACAGGACACTTTTGTCCAATGACAGAAAAACCATACTTTTTAATATAAAAAAGGAATAAAAATTATTTTCTGATATCAATGCAATATTTTACTTGCTTTGCTACCTTTGTTACTCTAATTCAGTTGCAAAGAAACTTGTATTGCGTTAATTCTTAAAGTGTACCGTCCGTGACAAACTGTCCCGTCCGTGACAAAACTGTCTTGTCTGTGACAAAAACTGTCCCGTCCGTGACAATTTGTTTTTGAAATATTATATTTTAGGCAGGTTATACAGAAAATTATTTAAAAATTGGTTGATAAAATATTAAGTTATAGTCTCTAGTAGGAGGAAATTGAATATTAAATTTTTCATAGCATTACTTTACTGATGAATGTAAAAAAACCTCCTCAAATGTCACAAACGGGACAATTATCAATTTTGATGTGTAAGTATGAAATTAATAATAACAAATTTCAACCAAACACATGATTTTGTAATAGAGGAAATACAAGGTAACTCTGTCTGCACCAACATTTTGTTATCAGATTTAAATTACTGTTTAAGAAATATTTAGCATTTCTTAATGTCCCGTCCATGAGGCAAAATATACATTTTTAATATTTAATATCAAATAACTCAAACAATATCCATAAAAAAAATGATTTTTTTTTATCTAATTTTGATCTTCTTTGAGAATTAGCCAAAATTTATATTAATAATTGAAATGAAAAATTAACCCTCACGGACCAAATATTATGGAATGCCCCTATAACCGATTCACATCAAGGTTTAAAATTAACAATTGATATACTACAATACTTATCAGCTAAAAAATGGAATGCATGCCTCTACATACAATTACGCCTTCACATAATACAATTTTACATTAAATACGTTACCATAATATCTGAAAGCCGAAAATGGAATGTCAAATTTAGGTGGAACCAGTGCAAAATATTACAATTTTAATTAAATTTAAATAATTGTACAACCAACGTATGTGATTTATTATGCTAATACTGCTGAAAGAATAGATTCAAACTCATAATTACGTTACAGTACCAAGGCTTAGGAATTTGCCTAAGATCTGAATTTAGCTATCACTAAAAGACAAAGCACATTATCTAAAAATTATACAACGACTAACATTTACCACATCAAACGAAC